GCAATAAATCATCAAAAACAACAGCAGCAGCAAATATCACAACAATATGCAACTCATTCGCCTGCAAATAAACAACGTCAATATCCACTTCGTATTTCAACACGATCCGACACATCATCACTATTATCTGATGTTGAATTACTTAATCCTTATGCAAATATCAATTCAGTGCTATACCTCGCAAATTTGACACGAAATTCACATATTTTGAATGAAATACGGGAAGACATTGGTGGAATGGATATAGATGAACGGGAAAATGAATTTGTGGGTGGGGTGATAGAAAATTCAATAACAAATTTAAATGAAAATCTCGGTGGTAACATGTCAGCAATTCATGCATCACTTAATGTTATGGGTCATTGTCCCAATAGTATCGAAGGTATAAATAAACATGATAATCATGGTGACCGTGATAATAAGCAAGATTTTGGAATGGCATCTGGATATCAATCTATTAATGCTGTTTTAAGGGAGGCTTTTTTGAGAAGGCATGGATTAAATTCGCAAAGCTAATTGCGAGTAGCTTAATTTTTGTAAGTTCAAAGTTTTGGAACATTATTGTTAAATTTGCAGATGAAATTTCGCATTTAAATTCTAAGACAAACAAGACAATCTTATTTAGCAATTTTAATTTTATTAAATAAACAATACTATCGTACAAATATTTTTTATGCATTAATCCACAGTGTATTTAAAGTTTTCTTTTTTTAATCTTGAATCCTAAATATCAAATTAATTTACCATAATTGCAATACCGCTTACAAGACAATTAGGCCAAATTATAATAAATAAGCAGAAATTATGTTTTCGAATTATCTGCTTGACATCCTTTATTTAATACATTTAAGGAACGTTTTTTTACAATAATTTTAAACTAATAACTTGATACAAGTTATTAAGGAGTGTAGCCAGATTACTTAAGTTTCTTCTTTGGACGTAATTGATTGGAGTGACCACACTAATAGCATTCGTGGAAAGGTACATTATTACAATATCTCGTAATACAAATCGGAGGACGTATGATTGGTAACGTTAAGGCACACCAACCTTTTTCTTACGACAATTAGTGGCACGGGGAGGTAGACGAGCGTAGCATTTACGGCAAATCATTTTCTCACAATTGTATTTCGATGCAAGAGCTTTAAGTGATGGTTCGATAATACCACCACGAAGACGTAAAACCAAATGAAGAGTAGATTCTTTTTGTATATTATAATCAGATAAAGTACGACCATCCTCGAGCTAATTTATGAATGGTAATTATTATTATTATTATTATTATTATTCGGCAATCTCAAATCATAATTTGTTACCTGTTTACCGGCAAAAATCAGACGTTGCTGGTCTGGGGGGATACCTATAATCAAAAGATATCTTTCGTACTGATCATCTTATTATGTATTAAAAATACATACAATTCTATACTAGATAAATAATTTCTACCTTCTTTATCTTGAATTTTTTTCTTGACATCATCAATAGTATTAGAACTATATTAATAAGGTAAGCGAATGGATTCATTTAATGTAAATGCTAGTAACAATGATAAATCAAATTATCTAAATTTTTACCTCTCGACGTCAAGAGTGATGGTTTTCCCTGTAAGGGTTTTAACAAAGATCTGCATGTTCGGCTAATTAAATATTAATTTTTTACGAACAATTTTATTACGCTTTGTGCCAATTCTCTATACCACAAAAAATAAAAATAAATAATAAATAATAAATGTAATATATACACGATTTATTCAATTATGTCTTTTAACTAAATCAAAAAAAAAAAAAATCTCGGTTAATTGATTTTCTTTCAAAAAGATTTATTGTTTGTGCAACTCTAACGACTCTAATTGATTGGCCAAGAAGTAGTTACACGGCTGCGTTGATGACTTCATTTGTTTATAATACTGTAATACTCATGAATAGACGCTACGTATGAAATCTCGCTTTTTTCGTTTCCATTTGCAATTGTTATTTAAACATTTTGTGGGTCGCTTTGACATTTTCAATGTAGGGTCTTCACGTGTACTATCTTAGTTTAATATCGCGCTGGCTTCGACCAGTATACCGAAGTTTTGGAAGACCAAAGTAATTCGTTTCTATTTAGGCCTCGGTTTGGAATTAAATTAGACGCCAATGAGTACGGGAAAGATAACGCGATCTAAAACTTATAACGATCTACGTCATCATGAACCAACTAGAAAGGATGGGTTCGGTCGATTATGGCCAGTTTATGTTATAATCAATTTGCTAAATTTTGTAATGATCTTTTCTTTCTGAGTTGTTAGAATTAAATTCTATTCATACTATCTTATAAGCAAAAAGCAAGATACCTTCTCCAAAATTTATTTATCATCAATTATAGCAGATTATAACCGGTGACTAATTTTGAAATTTTGGATTTCAGTGAAGGTATTGTATGAGCAAACTTTAATTTTAAGCAACTTTCATAAAGAAAAAATTCATTTCAAAATTTAGAAAATTGATTAGAATTGATCGTGGCAATTATAACCTAAGACCAACACGAGATAGATAATCACGTCGAGGAGTTATTGATCTAGATACTTTACCAACAAAGTGTAAGTTATACAGTTAAAGAACTCAACGTTTCACTAACAAAAAAAAACATCTTTAGACTTATTTGAGTATTAACGCAAAAAATAATCTAAAATAATCTCAAAACTGACGAAGACTGTCGCCTATTGGGCCGTGCAAAGTTATGCTGTAGATTAAGGTATGTACGTAACTGGAAATGTTTTTTGATTAAGCTGCTTTATTGCGTTAGATTCGAATAAACTTTTATTACTGTTTAACTTGAATAGGTATGGAACCTTATACTGACAATCACGTGAAATGCTTCAATTTTCGCATGATTGCTATTGGCCAATAAAATTTTCACGTAACGTTAAGTGCGAAAATTAATATATTACAACGTACTGCGTCAAAAATATGGTTTTTTTTTTAAAAAAAAAAAAAATTGACAATGTTATTGGTTTTTAAAACAATTTCATCTATAGAAAGTTATAGCAATTCATAACAAAAAAAAACCAATTTTTCGAATCCGTATGACTCTAGAATCAATTTTTTAAGATAATCTCGTAGAGCTAAAAATTATCGGTCAGTCTTTTTAAAAAAAGTTTGTCTATAAATTTAAAAAAAATACTATATTTTTGTCGCATTATGTTACAATATTAATTTTATTGGCCAATCGTATGTGAAAATTTTATTGGTCAATAGCAATCATGCGAAAATTGAAACATTTCACATGATTGTCGTGTATAAGATGAGATTAAGTTTCCGGCACCACACAATCTTTTAGTAGTAAAAGATCCGAGTTTAATATTTAGAATTAGTCGGTTTTTGTAGTTTGTTGGGTTCGTTAACTGTAAATTTTTTGGTAAGTTCGAGTTTATTATTAATAATAAATATCACATTTACCCACTTTATCCACTTTACGCGTATCTATCTATAAATATACGTGATAAAATATTTTGTATATTAGTTTGTAAACCAATCAGACAAAAGCATTATGCGATTGGATACTTAATTGTTACACAAGTTTTTGTTGAAAATTTATACGTACGTATGGTTTTTTTGAACGCCTAACTTTCATCGGGATCAAGTGTTCCACCAACTTTCATTAGAGAACGGAGTGCGATAACCATATTATAACTTTTAAAGAGTAATCTACAATAGAAATAATATTTTCTTTTGAATAAATGTTTCGAACTTCACGTGATAAGAAACTAAAAGTTAATTGTTTCACGAAATACTATAAAAGTATCAACGAATGTTAATTCTGGCCAATCAGAGTTTTTGTTGATTAGCCAATCAAAACAAATTTCCATCATGCTTCTTCTATCCGTAAGAAAGACCACTCCGCGAAACACGTATACCAATGCCTTCAGAACCACGGTTGAATCCTCCTCCACAAAGAAGTCCACAACAAGATGCGTCGTCATCACCACGGCCAGGAGTTTCTCAGGATTCCGACCTACAAGATCAGTTAGCTAATTTGCAACCCGGTTCTTCTACCACCACCACAAGTACAATCATCACTATAAAAATGACTACAATTACTCATACAGATGCCAATAATAATTCAACTACTACTACAACTGTCACCACTGATATTTCTCCGGTGACAAGCAATACCGTTTCATCAGATCCTGCTACAGTAACCGTAGAAACCAGGGAAATGCCACCACAAATAACTCGTTTTCCAACACAAATAACTCCGATTATTGCAAATAATAATAACGCGAATGTTAATAATGCTACAACGGCTAATCCACCCGAATCTAATAATTCAGTTTCACAAATTCATCAGACGTCAAATTCGGCTCAATTCACGGAACCAACAAATTCTAGTCAATTACAGCAACACTTGGCTGCTACTTCTTATGCACCTCAGATAGCATCAATCATTAATAATGTCGCATCCAATTTAGCTGTAAATGCTGGCATCAACTCTAATGTTTTAGGCTCTCAATATAATAATGTATCAACAACAGATTCCACACCTTACATCGTTAATCCTATTATTGCGTCTAATAATACTATTAATTCTGTTCATTCACCAATTACATCAAATCATGCATCAAGTTTTCATAATGGTTCTGCCATAAATACCTTTAATTCTTCGCCGCCACCGTCTCATATTGGTACGTCTCATAATAGTAATCCTAGCATCCAATCAGGGGTTTCGCCTCATCATTCTAGCCAATCTGGAATTTCACCACATCATGATAGTCAACCTTTAATTTCTCCTTGTCACGACAGTCAAACTTTAATTTCTCATAATAATTGTCAATCGGGAATTTCGACACATTATACTAGTCAATCAGGAATTCCTTGTCAAGCAGAGATGTCTTCTAATCAAGCAGAGCAAAATATGAACAATAATAATTCTATGATTAGACAACATCATGGTGTTAATTCTATCAATATGCTGTTAGACACGACACTAACTAGCGCTATTGTAAGGTCACCAAGTACAGCAACTATAAATTCTAATGGATCTATTCCTAGTCCAATAGATTCTGCTAATGGACCACCAATTAATTCACCAATTTCTTTTGGTGAATCTACACTTGCTATGGACAATACACCTATTAGCGGATTAATTAATCAAATGAATAATCCATTAAGTATATCACAAAGTTCAATACCAAGGCCCAAATATCATAATCTTCCGGATCTAGATACACTCGATACAGTTTATGATGTTTGGAATGAATGGAATGTTGGTCTAGATGGAAACCCATCAATCATTACATTACTAGAGGTTTATGGTAATAAATGGGCTGGTGAAAATAAAGATACATTGATCGCTCGTAAAAAAATTATAAAGGAAATACAAACAAGAACACGCGATATAGGAGTTGATAAAGCAATAAGTGAAATGGAACGATTAAGGAATGGTAATGGTTTAACTTGGTTATCAAAAAAATTTGGTGGAAAGAAGAAGGCAACACCTGCGCATCGTGGATAAGAATTTATTTTAGGAATAATAAA